TCCCACATTATGGTAACCAACTAATGATTTTATTTAAGTAATTTTTTAATTTTAAAGAAATAAACTATTCAATTAACTACCACACCCTGCAGATTATGCAGAGATTTAGATAGAGATATCTCAATCATTCGATAATTTATTTTGATGGTGCTAGACTGCTACTTAATTACGATAAACATGTCTCAGAAATGTTATTGGTTAGACTAATTTGTTGTTTTCTTTAATATATACAAGTTTACAATTTAATTAATACTGATCGTCAATGCGTATATTATATCATTGAGGTTAACCGTATACTATAGAATATTTATTTTTATAGTTCAGTTTCAGTTGAACCAGCCGCAATTCATCCAATTTTCCCCATGAATAACATATATATAGCTATAATACTACGTACGTACACTCATAAATGAACAATTTTTAATATAATACTAAAACTCGAGAGACTTAAAAAAATTCAGTTTCTCTTATTATTTCACTAAAGAGTTTTTTTTATTTATCATTCCGGCTCTAGAAATAATGACTAAGAAAGGAATATTCGTTACATTATAAGCATTGGTTTTGTAATAATCGTCCAAGTGGTGGATGGACATGAACCGAATGAAACTACAAAACTGTTTATTAACAATACGAAATAATTATTCATTTGGCTCTATATATTAGTTAGAGAATCGAGATGAAGTTTGGGATGTCAAAAAAAATTGTGTCGACGTCCAAAACGGATAATGCATGAACGAACGAACATTCATGAAGAGACACGTCCTTTCACACATCGAGATCAACCTTTGCGAAGCTCTAGGGACATTTGTTTACTTCACTAATCTCATTTTATTAGTTTTATCAAATTAGTTCTAATTACATAGCTTTAATCAAAACTAATGTACCACATGCATATTGCTTCTTATACTATACGTCCCGGGAATAACGGTATAGTTTCTTTCTTTTTTTCACCACGAAACACTGCATATATATAGGTATTTTCTAAAGTATATATGTATGTGTAATCGTCGTAAATGACACGATTTACGTGTAGGAGTTCATCAGCAGAGACCGTCCATAACTAAACATGATTTATGACTTTCTATTACTAGCAAGAGTCATATATATTTTAAAACACCATGCAGATTAAGCATTCCAATGATATTTTATCCTTTTGGTTGGCACTGCAGAGAACCGACTTACGGAATGAGATAGAATAGTGATTAAAAAGTTTCCGCAACATGTTTGCTTTGTGACGGCGTGACGCAGGGATGAATATAGATTACAGTCGCAAAATCTTTGGTAAAGGATGTGATTAAATTAAGTATATGTACTTTAGTATATAACTATATAACAATATACTGCAAAATAAAACATATAATTTCAAACAATTTATAATTGACTCCGAAAAATAATGACACAAGTTGTAATGGTCACACTATAATTAATTGTCCGAACCATAATTGTATTATTTTGTCATAGTCCCTCTCCTTCTTCTTTTTTCTCTTTTCTTTAACAAGCCACAACGTTGTAGTTTGACTCTATAAAGAATGTTCAATTATTTATGTTCATAGAGTCAAGAACGATGATAAACTAAACAAACAGAAGCTTAAAGTCAACTAATATTTTATTCATCTTAAACATTCCTTACACTTGTTATCAACTGAACCCGCGTCTATTCAATGGAACTCCGACATATTTTTTTCAGACTTTTTTTAAATATGTCGATCACTTAATAATCCTCGATCTCAATTTAAAAGTCAACTAATACTTATTATATTGGGAGGAAAAAAATTGGTCCATTTTAAGTAATAATGAACATTGAATTATATCCATATAGGAAGAAAAAACAAAAACGAAAATATGAAATGTACCACGACCACGAGGGAGATGATGGTGTTACCATACCAATAGTGCAAGAAAAAATACTACAAAAATGTTTTTCTTTTATGGTCCCTGTGGTTGTGGTTAGAAAAACATCAATTTCTATATATGGTCCTAGTCCTGGAAAGATGACTCATTTTGAACAACTTCTCTAAATTATATTCCATTACAACTGTGACGCAAATTTTGTTTTTAGATAACATGTTTTTTAATACACATATAGGGTATGATCTTATTAGTCATATTTTTAACTATAAAAACCAAAAAAAGTCTTCAAGAATCATCTAAAGTATCATTTTAGAATAACAATAGATTTCAAGTAAGTTTTATAAATTATTAATTAAATAACATATTAGTAATGTGGCCTAACTAATCCCAAAAGCTAGCTCAAGGGAAAAGGATTACCACATCCTATATATATTGTCCAAAGATCTTTATCCCAAGCAATGTGGGATTTTGGAACTCTAATATAACAAGAGATTTTAAAGTACTTTAAATGGTTTTATATATATTCCAAGTTGAATAACATAGGATTTTAATTAAGAGCTTAAGGTTTTGAGTAATTTTCCTTTAAGATAATAGGAAAGGTTATTATTCATAAACTTGCGTGTCCCTTAAATCTTCGATATTCTATAGAATCCACCGTCACGTTTTGATAATTTGGTTTTGTGGGTGCAGTCTCCATCTCGCAACAAAAAAACTTAACACCATATGTAAGCTTGTTCTCCAAACAATTGTTTATGATGAGATATGGAAGGACTAAGGAGAAGAATCTACGAATTCATACGTCCAAACCAACAATTACTCGTAAGGCAAGTGATCCTGAGAGGTAAGCTATATTAACACTTTGATATGAAAGAATAGAATTCTCATTAATGAATCATAAGACTGTACAAGAGTATTTATATGTACATGTATATTAAGAGTAGGAATAAGCTAAAGGAAACCTTATCCTATTCTAAGTATACAATATAAACATTATATGTTAATATACCCCCCTCAAACCGAACGATCTTTAGGAGTATAAAGGTTTGAAATCGACATACGACCAAGTAGATTATGAAAAGGACCCGGCTGTAATGGTTTGGTGAGTATATCCGCCAGTTGATTGCAAGAAGACACATGGAAGAGCTTCAAGAACCCATTCTTGATCTGATCCCTTGTCGTATGACAGTCAATTTCCACATGCTTTGTTCTTTCATGGAAAACTGGGTTTGTGGCAATGTATACAGCTGACTTATTGTCACAACAAAGCTTGACTGGTGAATCTTGAGTGATATAAAGATCCTTCAGCATCTGATTGAACCATAACAACTCCTTTGTGGTTTGTGCCATACTTCTATACTCAGCTTCTGTACTACTTGAGCTGACCACATCCTGCTTCTTTGATTTCCATGATATCAAAGAAGAACCAAGAAAGATGCACATACCAGAAACTGACCTTCTTGAGTCTTTACATGTGCCCCAGTCAGCATCTGCGAACCCATTCAAACTCAAATCTGAAGTTGCAGAGAAGAATAAGCCTTGACCCGGACTGTTCTTCAGATACTTGAGAATGTTATAAACTGCATGCAAGTGAACATCAGTAGCACATGACAGGAATTGACTCAACCTATTCACTGCAAATGTTATGTCAGGCCTAGTGATGCAGAGATACTGTAACCTACCAACCAATTCCCGATAAGGAGTTAGATCAGGTAATAGGGTGCATGTTTCCTTATTCAATGGTTCTGTTGGATCCATTGGTACAAGTTTCGGTTTACATCCCAACAGACCTGTATCAGCTAACAAGTCCAGGCAATACTTTCTCTGACAAACTGAGATAACAGCTGCACTTC